GGGCGTAGAAGATTGTCATCGACTGGTGATGCTGATACATCAGCAACATCAAGTTATGAGGGAAGTGAAGGGAGTTCAGTCAACAGTGATGATCAGACAAGACTCGATCCTGTAACACAGCCTGAGAGGGAACAATTGGAGGCCTTTTTCAGAGGATTGAAGTCTCAGGTAATGATTTCACTTCAAACCAATTCCACAGTTCCACTATTATAGAGCATTACATGACAATTATCCCCTAGGAAATGAATTACACGAATAATAAATCAATGAAAGAATCAAATAAACGATTGGAAATGATAGTAGTAATGAATGATTAATGAAGAGTTATTTCCATAATTGAGTCACGACGTCCGACTTCCTCTTGAGTTATTAGAAATAAATTTAGGGAACCACATTTTTCCTCGTCCCATAAATTTCACCGCAACTTTAAACTCCAGAGTATTTTTTCTCATTTTCCCAGTGGAAAAAAATGGCACATGCAAATGGGGAAAAATCACGCAGAAATGACAATTTTATGATCCGTACAATGACGATTTTTACTGTCCCGAACATTACCAGCAGGAGTGATTCGAACATCTTACGACGTCTCAAAATTTATCACCAGTTTTATCTTTATGGTTTTTCTCTGGTGCAGGTTTACGTGTGTGAGTCACTAGCCAATTTATATCTCGGAAGTGCCTCTCAGGCTCAGGGCAACTGGGAGCTGCGATTCACCGGAATACCAATTGTGGTACTGGACCTTGGAGAAACGAGATCGAGATCCAAACGACAGATTCAGATTTTACTCGCTGAGAGAGGAACCTGTTTCACGTTATGGCGTGAAACTATCGACAATTTATCCTCGTACAAAGTAATTTTTCCTTCCCCATTAAACAAATCTCTACGACAATCTAAATATCCGCTTATTAATTTATCAATAATGAGAATTAGCTGATTATTTATCAACAGCTTCTGATTTCTCATTTAATTCAATGTTTCCTCCATTCGCCTACAAATTTTTTAAAATTAAGTTTCCAAAATTACCGATAAATGTAAATGTTTTTTTCATTTTCAACAAAAAAATAATTCTATTTATTTATATATTCATATATTGCAGAATTGTTGGAAATTTCAGGGAAATTTTTATTCCACAATTGTAAAAATATTTAGAAAAAGCTCTTTTATGAATGAATGTTGTTTTATTTGATTGATTGTAATTTATTAATTGATTGTAATAATTTTTCAGGTGTCCGGACCGGCATTCCACACAATGTGCCTATCCTCGGACCACACAAGACTGGCAGGTCTGAGTTTTGACAACGCAAAAGCTGCCAATGATCTTTGGCAGCACATCGAGCGTCTGGTCTCCTGTCCAGAGAACATAAGCCTCTCAGTACCTGGTAAAAATAAGAAGAAAAGCAAAAAACCACCGCCGAAGAAGTTCGTTCCACCAGCGAAGAGTAATATAAGCCAACCCTGTCAATTTCAACACATGACAAGCGTCGATGCAGCTGACAGATCGCGATATTTTTCCCTGCAGACCCTCGTGCCAGCACTGAATCAATTGGAAAACTCGATCGAACCAACTTTCTAACGTTAATCCCCAACGACTAGATAGAACTGCAAATATATCGCATAAAATACGTACAGAAAAATTTAATTGAAGAACAATAACTTAAAAAATACCATTATATCAAACATTCCAGTTGATCTCAGCTGATTCCACTGGAATTTTCACCTGAAACAATAAATTACATTTTCGAAAACTGAACAACAACTCAGAACATTTGCGCTGACGAAATTTTCTATTGAATAGACTAGAATTCTATTGACTAGAATGGGCCACTGATTTATTGAATGTTTGATGTTAATCTCAACGTTTTTTTAATTAAATTTTTTAATCTGTGGAA